AATACATGATATTGAAACCAAAAGGAAAAGAAAGATAAGAAAATAAAAAGGATAAGCTATGATAAATATATAAAAGGAGATAGGATATACAAGGCCACTCAAAAAGATTATGGAAAATATCTTTAGTAAGGTAAGCTGAGTAACTTAGCCAAAACTGGGTTTAAAGTTTGAACTGACATAACTGAAGAACTTGTTAGAGATAAGTAAAACATTATAGCACTTAAATAAAGACTAACGTAAATATGGTTTGAACGATTAAGCAAACCCATAAGCAGAGAATGGGGGTGGGACATTCCAAGACTAAGGTTCCCACTCCACACAAAGCAAACCCATTAACATTTCCATCATTTGCAATGGAGCCAAAGACTCACTATTTTTTGGTTTGGGAATATGATGGAATAAAGAAAAATGGCTCACTAAACTGTCTGCGCTTCTCCGTTATGAAGCAGTAGTCAGTTCATGCAATTTTGGATGCGATTTTCATTATGGGTCATCCGGAAACAGTCTCTCTGTGCTTTAGTACATGGGTAAGATTGCGTACATCCGACCCCCCTTACCCCACCGTAGGTGGGAGCCTTTGTGGCACTGGGGTAATGATGATGATGAAGAGAGGAGATTAACAAAGAACAAGGTATCTTTTTTACACTTTTACTTATTTTTCATAATCAGTGTTAAACTAAGCTCATTAAGCCTACAAGTGTGCCTAAAAAATCATATCGTACATTATTTTTATATGTAGATAATCACCAAGTAAAAAGATTAGTAATTAGGACTTACAGCTTGAGGTGACAACATTTTGGTAGTAGTTCCATGGTACTGGCCGTTGAATCATCACACCCTCTGTACCTACAGAAGGTAGTAGACCTGGTTTGGGTACTGATCCTATCTGTACTCCACCAGTCTTTTCCCATGAAATATGAGCGCCACACCAATACTTTAAGTACCAATGGAGGCCTGATGTGATTTCAACTGCCGTAGTTCCTTGTATCCTTATAAGCAAAACCGACAAACAAAACAAAAAATATATCTAAAGATGTTTACAGAAGCAACTAATGGCAACACTATATGCAACCATTTTTTACATACATGGCAATGTCCAAATTATCTTTCTACCCCTTAACATTAAAACAAAAGGAACATAAATTGAAATCCCTAAAAAATGGCAACAATATATCACTATATGCAACCATTTTTTACATACATGGCAACGTCCAAATTATCTTTCTACCCCTTAACATTAAAACAAAAGGAACAAAAACTGAAATCCCTAAAAAAATCGGTAAATACACCCAAAGACATGTCTGAATACAGTCTTAAAGGAAGAGCTAAATGTAAAGCATTGAAGATCTGTTGCTCTTTTATTACACAAAACTCTGAATTACATTTGAAGTTCACATTGTAATATTTGATGCACATTGAGTAGAATGGAGATGAATCAAGGTTGTGTGGATAATAGTGCATGAAATTATAGATATCAAACATTCAGAAATCTGGCCTTTTATACAAAAGGGGTGGAGATAAGAATGCTAGAGCTTACAATTGTTTACATTTCTTCTTCAGGTGTATATCTACTATATACGTCTAAAGCAAGTGCATTTGATGTTTCATGTCCTCAATAGAATCATATTAAATATTTAACCATCACCACACACACATACATGTGTGTGCGCGCACACACACACATATATACGAAAGGTAGGACCCACATACAATATCTGAGGCAGAACTCTATTTGAGCTTTTGTAATTGGTTACCCTAAAACAGCTTTTCCCTCCACAAGCATCCTACAATTTGCCATCAGCTTTCAATAATATATGGATAAGAATAAGAATAAGAATAATATCAGACCTATATCTTATGCAACCAGATAACGGTAACAAGTTAACACTGACAAGTGACAATAAACCAGACATATTAATGTACCAAATTCAGTTGAACTGTTGAATGATGGCAAGTTGCCAAATGGAGAGTACGTATGCCAAAGAAACTGTATCTTCTTCAATGAAAACAAGTATAATTTGGTTCGATGTGATAGGTTATAGGCCCTTTTGTGACCCTATTTTTCGGCTTATCAGCCTTATTAACCAATGTTTTCACCAAACATTTAGTTTTTTATTTCGTGCGTAGGATTATATAATAATCAAAAGAAGTAAGGTTGGGTGACTATTCTGGCTGAAGTTATTGTAGAGGGTCATTTAGCTATTTTCCATATATATTTTTTTCTTTATTTTCCTAATAAAATATATTTTAAATATATTTTTCTATAAATCAAAGGATTCAGGCAATTCAGCCAGAAATTCATCAATTTCAATAGATTCAACCAATTTCAGTGTTACCGAACGGGCTGTATACACCAATGAAAAGTGTGTTATGTATGTTACATAATAGACAATGATGAACTTTAAAATGCATGATCTAAAACACAAAATAAGAGCCCATTTTGGCATTTCTAGTTCAGCATTCAAAAAGCCAAAAGTGCTTTTGAGTCTCCAGAACTTTTTGCTTTAACTGGAGACCGTTCTGGAAGCACATTTAGCATACAACTGCAAGTGTTTTCACCCCTACCTAGCTTATATTTGATTTATGCTTTTCAAATAGACTGGAGAAAGCTCCAAACGCTTCCTATAGAAGACAACTTTAGTTTAGTAAATTGACTTTTAAGAAAATATATCCAAACACATCTTTTTATTGCATCCAATCCCTTTTATGAAACTAACTTTACTAAAGGGACTTTCAGCTAATGAACTTTTATCAAACTAAAATCCAAACACACACTAAGGCAGCATTCAGAACCCTGAGTAATCATAAGTGTCAAAAAGCATTTGAGAGTGTTGAGGAAAATCGATGAACTCCTCCAGTCACAAGCTTGTATGAACTCTTGTACTCTGTTACATTCTCACTAACGCAAATGAACAATGTGGTAAATGGCATCGATTATATATCAAATTACTAGTGAAAATTTAGACGAGCATGGGTTGCTCACTTAACTCCAATTTAGTACTGCTTGATTCTACCTCTCTAGTGACTCTACAATAGACTACATTTCTCCAAAATATTCTACAAGCTCCCTCGTTCTTCTAGATAATCTCCAAAATATTCTTCACTTCTCCAAATGCCTTCAAAATATCCTAGAAAGTTTCTACAACGTTCTAGAGTTCTACTGAACCTTCTCGATTAAGGAGGGTCAAGCCCACAAGTGTAATCTTGGTTTACTTTTTTCCCAATGATTAACCAAAAAGCGTTCAGCACTGTTCTATAGTAGAAGAGTGCATGTACAAAGAGTAACCAATATAGCAGCTTTACTACCTTGGACACAATTTTGAGCTCAAAATTTGTCAAATGGGTGGGAAGCAGCCTTTGAAGAACACCCTTGGCTGCAGATTCTTGGACTGAAAGCGATGGTCTTTTCGTGTCCAGGCGCCTTAGCATGGAGTTTATCGTTTCTGATTCTTGCACCGATAGTGGATGTGAGAAACGTATATACAAATTAAGAATCAGAAACATGAAAAATAAATTCAAACCACACCCCAGATTCTGGTGTAAATTTGGATTCCTCATCCTCCCTCACAGGAAAAAAAAAAAAACAGTGTCGTTTCTTTGTCTCTGATTCTCTCTAGTTCTCAGGTGACAAGTAAATCTAGTATACTTCAACTTTCGTCTTGAATTTCTTATCTACATTTGCTATGTTACATGTATGGACAATAATTTGAACGTCTGATTCAGAAAATTATTATCTTCTATTATACAAAAGCAAGTGGAAAAATGAACAGTGTTCCCGCCCAAAGTTCTGGGTCAAAAATGGGTCGGGTACTCAGATTCGGGTCAAGTTTAATATGGGTGCAGAAACAGGCTAAAATGAGGCCCAATTCTGTATGCACAGTATCCAATATTACATTGTATGGTTCCATTGTTCATAAATTAATTTTAATACATAAAACAGGTTAAATGAAATGATTTGTCCTCGAGCCTCACAATCAATTAAATGTCGTGTACTATAGAAAAATAAACAATAGTATTGGTTGTCCTTTTAAGTTTTATATCATTAATAAAAATATAATGCAACATTGAGCCACACAAACAATAAATGCAGTGTAACCTTTATGATTAAAAAATAGATTTAGTTGTACTTCGAAAGTTATAGATTAAAAATGAAACCCTGTTGCAGCCTTGAGCCTCAAAAACATTAAATGCAACATTGAATTGGCGTCCTCTATCATCAAAATCGATATGAAGTTGGCTATCACAACTCTTGAGCCTCCAAAATAATAAATGTGTTGTACAACAAAATCTCAAAGCAAGATTTACTGGGTTTAACCTTTGGTCAATGCCCAGACAGCTTCACATTATGCTCCCACCAGCTCCTTTAAATATACCCACACCGGGGTGATCGAAACACCACAACAAAGTAACATCAATTTTTCTTTCGTGCAACATCAATTTTTCTTTCGCAGCAAACAAGAAATTTCAGCAATGACAGGGATGTGGTCTTTAATCAAGGACATTGATCATACCAAAACCACCTGGGCTCTAAAGGTTAGGGTGGTCAGGGCATATGAAGTTCCTCCACACTCGAAGGGAGGGGAAACACTGGAGATGGTTTTGCACGATGCTGAGGTATAACATATTATTTTGAACACACAACTATGCTAGGTGATTAAATCTTTAATTATTAATGTTACTTTTGTTTGTGTGAAACAGGGTGATCGAATTCATGCGATAATCAAAAGGCCACAAATTGCCATGTACAAGCCTGTGATAACCGAGAACAAGATCTACGCAATAAGGAATTTTTTAGTGCTTGACAACTACCAAACAGTGAAGACCACAGATCATCCCTACCTAATTCAGTTCATCTCTAAAACTCAGTTCATAGCGGATACCAAGGCAGTGCTGCCTATGATGGTGTATGATTTCCAACCTTTTGATATGCTGCACGCACAAAGGGTTGTGAACGACAAAAGTCTCATTGGTGAGTAAACTAAAACCATCAACTAAACAAATATATTGGCAAACTGAGCTAACGCTTTCTATTTACTGCACTGTTTCAGATATCATCGGGAAGGTAATCGGCAAAAGCGTTGTCCAGACCCACATTTCCAGTGGTAAGACAGACAGGCATATGGAACTGACTTTGGCAGACCCAGAGTACGTTTGTGCTTTTTAAAAACCCTTATGGTTTTTGAGGCAGATTTCTATGATACTAATGGGCTTCAAACAACAGGGGTAACCGACTAGGTTGTGTCTTATGGAACAAATACATTAGCCAATATCAAGATTATATTAAGGAAAATGAAGGGGTGCCAGTTTTTGTGATACTTCAACTCTGCAGACCTAAAAGATTTCAAGGTTTATAGTTCTTGATAAATTCTTTATTAGTAGTTATAAGCCAGTCGCAGTTTGTTAACTATTGAATCGGATATGATGCAGGGACTTTAACTGTGACCACTTCCTTTGATGTTTCTAAACTCATTATCAATGGAAACACGACAGAGTTTTTGGAGTTCCAAAGCGAGTACGTTAACATCATATTAAATATCTAAAAAAATAATATACCACAACTCACACTAGACAATTAAATGATGGATGCAGATTTCCTGCTGATGGTGATGACACCATAACTCAGACTTCCCTCACGCAATGCTCACAAGGTGAAGGAAGGGATGATGTGCTTAGTGGCCGCGCAGTTCTAACCACTATGAAGGATTTGATGAATGCTACCGAGGTTAATAATTAATTGAAGAGATATTGATTTTGAAAAAAAAGGTTGATTGAACCGTCTTATTGATGTACCCTTATAACTACTTAAATTGAGCAGGAAGATATTTACTGGGTTCTTGCAGAGGTAGTTTCAATAGAAAACTTTCGGGAATGGTGCTACTTGGGCTGCCCAACTTGCCACAAAAAGTTAACACCCGAGGAGGAAAGGTTTAGGTGTACTAATTGCAGCATGACTCTAGCCGACGGAGTTTACCGGTATCATACTATCTCCACCTAATGATAAACTAATAACTAAAATCAAATGATTTAACATATTGCTATGCTTAAAATGATAAGTTACAAGGTCAGCGTATGTATCATGGACAACACTGGCCATGGAAATTTTGTTCTATGGGACAGAGAGTGTATTGAAATTCTTGGTAAAACTTCCGCAAGCCTGATGGCAGAAGTGGAGAAGGTAACTTCTGTACTCTAAAGACTGTATTAGATAGCCAGTACCACACGTCACATTCTATTTAACTCTTTAAAACACAGAAAACTGGTGATCCAACAAGATTTCCAGAAGATATTGAAAGCTTGGTGGACAAAAAGGCAATTTTCAAAATACAGCTAAAGAAAAAAAGTGAAGAAAATGCCTACAAAGGCGGGATTTCGTTAGGAGTGCTTAGTATGATACGAGATCCTAATGTTTTGGCAATGTATGAAGGAAAGCAGGACATCGGAACAGATGAGAGTGATATGAAGACTCCAGAAAAGGTATTTTGAAAACAGCTTTTGTCTGAATATCTGTATCTTAGTTTTTTCTAGATTCTATATTAACAGAAAATTTCCATTTCAGATTGGTTCAAATGCAGACATGGGAGAGAATTCAAACTCTGTTAGAGAGAAATCTACTGTCACCAAGGGAAAGGGGAAACGGATTTCAGCTGAAAAGGAGGTAACATCTAATGCAATATTTGGTTCATTTTACTGGCACAATATTTTATTGTGGAAATTTTTAATAATGAATTTCTTGCTATTCGATACAGGACATTACCCCCATTGAGCTCCCAGATTCACCTGTGGCTTCTACCCAGAGGGAGGTTAATGATGAGATAACCAGAAACCTTAACGATGAATTTTCAAGCAACGGGAATGGCAAGAAGCTGAAGATCAAAATCAAACAGGAACCACTCTAAATGTTATTCAAAACCTGGAAGACTGTTGTGTTTTTGTGATGCCATCTAATACGGTGTCTACTTTTTATGACTGTTTGAAATGGCAGTGTGTATGCCATCATTTTTTGGAAGTGTTGAAACGCTAAATGTGATGAACTTCAAATAACCTCCTGCTTTGACTAAAATTACATCTTGCCTTTTTGTGGATGGTATAGATATCTATCTAATTGGATATTTGCAGGTTACCAGTGCGAATACTAGCGCAGATATTGCATAGCTAAAGGGACGCACATACTCTAACATTTTTCGTGAACATCAAGAAATTATTTAGAATACGAGTAACTGACAGAGTTTAAAATGATTTTCAGGTTGCTCGAGTTGTAGCTGCACAGATTCCTACGTGATGGAAACGGGCTACTATTTAGATAGAATTAGTAGTAAATTTTGTAACTACGTAAATTTTTGGGCAAAAATGTATTTCATTATACAGAGTGTGTGCATTGGATATGAAAAGTACATAAATTTAAAGTTTATAATAAAAGTTGTTTGATTTACTATCATGGATTGGATAGGAACTATATGTTTAAAAATAGGGCATGATTGGGGTAAAGCAGTTCATACCTGAGCCTTTGATACGAAGATGTCACCTGCAACCCTACATTTATCTAAATAAATATTACAGACCTTTTAAATAAAAGATTACATAAAGGGCAACCTTCTAAGGGCCCACAACTATTTGTATTACAAATTTCTAAAGAGTTGTAATGAACGTGAGCATATCACCTGCACAGATTAAGGCATCAAAATTATGGTTTGCTCAACAACTTAAAATACAACCTTTAGATTTGAAATCGTTATGTTAAGAATCATGATTTACAAAATACATTATATTTTTTTATCCAAGGTTCAAAGTAGTTTGGGTTTTCTAAGAAAACTTTGGAATTTTTAGTTTAGAGAATTTACTAAATGCATTATACAATTTTTAAATACATATAGTTTCAAATGCATTTAAGTAATAATTAAAAATAATTATATAATTGTATGCTCAATTAAATTGAATACACTCCAAAACCTTACCAATGTACCTCATTTGAGTTCATGCTTGATGATTCTCGGAAAAAACATTTTGGGAATTTTTTTATATTAATAAGCTTTGTAGAACCTTGAGCATTTTAGATGCAATTCGTCATATTCAGTACATAAAAACCTAGCATAAGAAAAACATGGGAAGAATCTGTGAGTACATTGGTGGTGAAGCAAACATTGAGCATGTTAATTTTGGCCTTGATGTGGTAGCCCAGGTATTTCAGATATGAATTGCCAAGGTTTCCTGTAGGCCTTATTTTAAAAACATAAAAAAAAATACAAATATTTGTTGTCCATCAAGAAGAAAATAGTTTTAAAAATCAGTATATATATTACCAAGTTTTGAAAAAATGTTAACAAATCAGCTTCAATAATCAAAACTACTAAAAGTTATATATGTTTTGTAAATTTATCATTTCAAACTTTAAAACAGAAATACAAGTGTAGCCAGTGTTCAATAAAATACTCCTATGCAGGAGCAATAAAATACTTTAATACTTTTTGGTCATATGAAATCCTTGAGCCACACAATCAATAAATGAATTGTACTTACAAACTGGGGAGTACGCAGATAAAAACCAAGTAAATTCTTGAGCCCACAAAAAATTTAATGCACTGTACTATGATATCATCTTTTGCCTGATATATATAATGACTCCGTAAAAGTGTTTAAATGTATAAAGCTATATTTAATAAATCTATTAAATAATAGATGTTATGAATCAAATTATGAAAAAAATCATAAAAGCTTTATTATTCTATACAGAGTTTTAAATAATAATAATTATATAACATATACTGATTTAAAAAGGTTTTCGAAATCTGAAAATACAGCCACTGTTTAGTAAAGAGTAATCACCATTAAAGAGTTTAAACAATAAGTTCAGAATAAAGGAGCATAAAATTAATTTAAATAGGAGTGAATATATTTACATTGCTATATAAGGGTAGTAGGAATATAACTCAAAGAGTTATGATTTATAAAAACAAAACAGTTATTTTAAACGTAATAGAGATATCAGCAATATCTCAAAGCAGGATTTTGCATACGTCTTCACATTAAATAAGCATAGAGAACATAGGTCTGCTCATTAAATGAGAATAGATAGCGGCAGTTGAAATCATAATAAGATATATAAGGGTAGTACGAATATAACTCAGAGAGTTATGATTTAAAAAAATAAAACAGTTATTTTAAATGTAATAGTATAGCCAGAAAATTAAGTAAAGAGTAGTAGACGTGTAGGTCTGCTAGCATTAAATGGAGATATCGGCAATATCTCAAAGCAGGATTTTGCATAGGTCTGCTCATTAAATGAGCATAGAGAAAATAGGTCTGCTCATTAAATGAGAATAGATAGCAGTAGGTGAAATCATAATTAACTACAACAGTATTTACCAATGCATTCTAACCGATCTGTGAGCATATATCTGTGAGCATATATACCACCAATTGTGCATTAACTCCTTGCTCAGAAACTCATTTACTGAGCTCAACAACAACATCAACTCGAAAGTCCAGCAGACAGTTTTGAGTATAAAGTGTGCACGTGTTCTTACCCCACGAAGGAAAGGTATGTTTCGAACTATGATATGTATATAATTAAGCATAGATGGAAAGAGTTAATTATGTACAATGAAAATGGTTTATTATGAATATAATGAGCATTCCTAGAATGCAAAGTGAGTCATACTTCAACTAATAAATATAGATTAAATAACAAATTTTATGGTTCCATTTAAGATGAGATGCGGGTCAAGCACAGATGAATCTCCAAAATGTCATGCATGTGGGAGGATGCCTGGACTCTTTTGGTTGATCCCATGCTTTCAGTGTAAAAATTTAAATCACTTTTACTGTATGAATCCTCTAAACAAGAAAAGGTTTACTGGGAGATACTTATGCAACGAATGTCAAGAATGGATAGATGCAGGTCCTGAAATACCTAGAAGATCAAGTCGAGTCATAACCCTGAACCAGAAGTATTTCAATGAAAAAATGTGTGTGGGAATGAGTTTTGGTTGGCTAAACATGGCATGAAAATACTGCTGCATTCCCAGTATGAAAGATGCCCATGGTTTTTGTTAGTAATGTAAAAGTAGTGAACTCTTTTGTGTTTTGAAATTGTGAGGCCTGTATTATCGCATGAAATGCTCAGGCATGTTCACTTTGCTATGTAAAAGCATGCTATGTAGTGGATGAAATGTTATGGAATGCTATGTAATCAATGAAATATTATGGAATATTATGATGAATGTTTTTAGAAGCGTCCATGTGCAGTTAGCAATAATGAATGTTTAATTCATACATGTGAAGAGGATTCTGTATAGCTATTATGTGAAATGGTATATAAAAAAAACTTAAATGAGTAAAGTTTACATGTTTTCACATTCAATTTAGAATTACATATACAACAGATTAGATGCAGATGTACGCAAATCAGAAATTAAGGAGTTCATGGGTTACCGATGTTCAGGCCAGCGGACTGCCAGACCACGCAGTTCCGAAGGCCACTACGGTGGCTGGCAGGGTATCTGGCAGTCCTATGGGATGGGCCTTTACTCAGTAACCTGAAAATATTGAAATTGAAATGAAAAGAAAAAGTTTACAAAACATCTTTTAAACAAAAGTAATTCATAAGTTAACATTGAATGACTGAATTTCCTTACAACTATTGTGGTCTTGCATCATCTGAAAATAACATAATGACATTTTTGTCTAAATAACAGCTCTTGAATGAAGAAGATTACGAAAAGCACAACAATCAACCGTAAAAGAAGTCTTCAAGACTTGACCAACAAAGGTAGCTTTGTGTACATTATCAATGTCTTTTACATTAGTAATGCAAGGTACATAAAAAGAGGTTCAGAAACTATTTCTGGAAAACTAGATGAGTGTTAAGTCTGTACTGAATAACTATTGAACATTAGGGTTTCAAAGTTCAGAAATCAGATTCAAATTTTAGCAAATGTAAACAATTGAAATTCGGGCAAATGGTAGATAAGTATGATGGGGTTTCAATGTTTAGAAATAAGATTCAGATTTTAGCAACTGACAAAGATTTGAAATTTGTTAAAAATGGTAATCAATTTTATTTAGGGTTTGAAGTGAAGAAATCAGATTCGTATTTTAGAATCTTTGAAAGTCATTTGTTCTACAATTCGAAAACATGAACAAGGCTAATCTATGATCCTGGAATATTAGAGAATAATATTCAAGATCCGAGAAGGAGACTTCGTATTTTATCTTTAAAGAAATTTAAAATTTATACGAACCCTTATGCTTGATGACAACAGATCTGAGATAATCTATATCACAAACGCCAGAAAACAACACTAAGTCTGACATCAAAGAGTATCAATAAGGCTTACTGCTAAATCTGTACAAAACAAAATTAATTTTCAAGTGTCGGTAGACCAAGGAGGAAAACAGATCTGAGATTATTTGTAAGCACACAGTGTTTCAAAATACCTTTGATTCATTACAATGAAATCCGGTCATCAAAATCGCATGCAAAACAGATCTGAGATCATTTGTAATCACTCAGTGTTTCAAAGACCTTTGATTCCTTGCAATGAAATCTGTTCACCAAAATCGCATGCAAAACAGATCTGAGATCATTTTTAATCACAGCGTTTTAAAAGAACTTTGATTCCTTACAATGTAATCTGGTGAGATAGACCAGTACAAAAAAATAGGTCTGAGATCATTTAATATATCACTCAACCTTCGTCAAAATCAAATTAAAAAAAGAATGAAGGAGGCCTTAGATCTGAAAACGGAATCGGAATATTGATGAAAAGGAGATTCAAATTTTAAATGACTAACACAAACAAAAAATAAAGATTTAGATATGTACCACAACAACAAAATCGCAGGTCTGAGATCCTTTGGTATCACTCAGCCATGTATAAACTGCAACGATGGTGTCAAGCATTCATCGAAGATATCATCGTTCTAACTTACTATCAAGATCAGGAATGGTTGAGGATGATATACGTAACAACGTAGAAATCAGATGTATAATAGGTAGGTGAATGGTAGATGAAGCATTAACGGCAAAATTAACGATGAACTGAAAGAACAATCGGTTAGAGAAGGGAGCCGCAGGGTAAAGAGAAAAACTGCTGGGTAATAAGGGTTTGTGAGAGGTGTAAAGGGTTTTTATACTGGTGGGTAGGTCTGGGTGGTGGGTTGGGTTGGGCTGTTGGGCTGAATTAATTGGGCTGGGCGGTTAGAGAAGGGAGATGCAGGGTTGTTGTTATTATTATTAATTATTAAATTATTAAATTATTAATATTATTAATTATTATATTATTATATTATTATTATTATTATATTATTATTATTATTATATTATATTATTATTATTATTATATTATTATTATATTATTATTATTGAATTATTGTTGTGTTATATTATCATTATTATTATTATCATTATCATTGTAATTATAATATAATTATCATCATTATCATCATAATGTTATAATAAAATGAATTATAAATTATGTTATAATATTGTTATTATCATATTTCATTATTACAAATATGAAATAATATAAATATTATAAAGTGTTATATAATAATAATATTTCATTATTACCATTATTATTATTATTATTATTATTATTATTTTATTACTATACACAAAAATATGTATTATAAATTATTATAATATATTATAGTTAAGATTTAATATTCATCAAGAATTTCATATTTAACATACTTAACGTATTTAATATTTAATATTAAATATATTTAATATAATACCAAAATTGGCAGTTTATGTGACCTATTGAGATTTTAATGTGTTGTTTATATTTAATAGAAAATTGTGATCCCAATCACCCAACACGTACATGCCGCCGTGATACTACTCCAATACGTTGTTCTGTGAACGCACCATCGAATGAAGAGGCAGGGCCGTCTAATGTCTCGGCTGCTAAAGGAATCGGCAAGTATAATTATTTTTTAGCATTCAAATACTATAATAATAATTATGTTATACGATTATACGATGCTAAATACAATGATTATAATGAAATAGTTGTGAAAGTGAACGGTGTATTTTTCTTACATTGCAAGAAAGTGTTCCAAATGAATATACCACTATAGCATTATGAATTATAATGCTATGTCATATACGATGTGCGGGCTTTTTTTTAATTTATAAATTATAATTCTATTTTTGTATTATTATATTTGATTATTAGTAGTATGACATATATTCATAAGAGTATAAATGAATATATTATTATAATATCATAAATTGTATTGTTATTGTCTTATTAAATTATACATTGTGTGAATGCTTATTTGTCAGACCAAAACAATACTCTATAATACATTACGAAATTATTATTAATATTATTAATAGTATTAATATTAATATTATTAATTATTAGTATAGTACAAACATTACCACTTTATGTGACCTCACTTGCCATTTAATGACATTATAAGAGATATATCCTCAGTTCCAATTTGTATGTCTGAATCTTGGGGAGTTCATCGTGATCATCAAGAACCATGTAATGGTGTAACAGAAGAGGATGATGTGTTTATTAACCAACAAGATGAGGGTGAAGGTTTGTTATGACTTACTACACAAATAAAATTATCCCATTATCTTAAGCAAACCCAATTCTAAACTTATTTCTTATGATGTCAAACATTAAGTATTCATAATCTGTAACAGACGTGGCGAATGCGGAATATTGGAACATCGGTGATCCAGAACACAGTTGTGCACGCTGTGGAGCATTGTTTTGGTATGAAGAAAGAACTCTTAGAAGTTCGACGAAAAAAGACGTGAAGTATTCTTTGTGCTGCGGTAAAGGGAAAATTAAATTGCCAAAATTGAAGGAACCTCCATTGGAACTACAACAGTTCATTCATGGAACAGATGCAGTTTCTAGGCACTTTCAAGAAAACATCCGCTCATACAATAGCATGTTTTCGTTTACTTCTATGGGAGGAAGGGTGGATAGAACACTGAACAAGGGCGGATCACCGCCAATCTTTAAATTAGGAGGCCAAAACTATCACCTCATTGGGAGTTTGCTGCCACATGAAGGAACTGTGCCGAAATTTGCACAACTATATATATATGACACCCAACATGAAGATGATAATCGTTTGAGCTCAGTAAGGTACTTTTATAACCTTAAAAGTCATAAACATATGCAATCGTGCACTCATGTTGTCAGCCATAAATACAGAGTATATTATACAGTGTGTTGGTTTATTCTCATTGTAGGGATGATGCAAAGAAGAACAATTTGAATGCACATATTGTGACTACATTAAGGAAAATGTTAGACAAACATAATGTTTTGGTTAAGTCCTTTAGAATGGTCAGGGATAAACTTGCTGAGGGTGGGGAAACAAAAGTTTCCTTGAAGCTAATAGGGAGAAGAACCAAGGATGCCAGAACTTATAATTTACCGACAGTTTCAGAGGTAGCGGCACTGGTGGTAGGTGATTTTGATGAATCACTCGGGCAAAGAAATATCATGGTTGAAACTCAAGGAGGGTATTTGAAAAGAATAAGTGAGCTAAATCCAGCATATTTGGGATTGCAATATCCGCTTTTGTTTCCATATGGTGATGATGGGTATAGGGAGGATATAGCCTTTTCTGATGAGACAGTGTCAAACATTGGTGGTCGACGAAGTGTTAGCATTAGAGAGTTCCTTTCTTACAGATTGCATGAACGAGCTAAGGAAGACTCTTTCATCCTTAAGAGTAGGAGACTATTCCAACAATTCACAGTCGATGGATATACAATGGTTGAGTCATCAAGGCTAATGTATATTAGAACCCATCAAAAAGAACTGAGGTGTGAAATGTACAAAGGCCTGTCGGATGCTTTGCTAAGTGGTGAAAGGGATGCGTCAACACAGGGTAAACGAGTTGTGCTTCCACCGACATTCGTTGGGGGCGCTCGATACATGGTTCAAAATTATCAGGATGCCATGGCTATATGTCGATGGGCAGGGTACCCAGATTTATTTTTGACTTTCACCTGTAACCCAAGATGGCCTGAAATAAATAAATTCCTTTCATCAAGGAATTTGAATCCCGAAGATCGTCCAGATATTGTTTGTCGAGTGTTTAAGATGAAGTTAGATGGCTTGATCAAATATCTAAGACAAAGTAAGATATTTGGAGAAATTCGAGCAGGTATGTTAAATATCATGTGTGTTGAATCATATATGATCACACAGTTATTTATATATGTATATGTGTTTAACACAATTGTTATGTTTACTGCTCACAGTGATTTACACAGTTGAATTTCAAAAGCGTGGTTTACCACATGCTCATATTTTATTATTCATGGGGAGTGGAGACAAATTTCCCACCCCAGCAGACATTGACCGCATCATATCAGCAGAAATACCTGACAAGTTGGCTGATCCTGAATATTTTAAAGCTGTATGCACACATATGATGCACGGACCATGTGGCAACGATGCAAAGAATGCCCCTTGCATGGTTCAGTCAAAATGTTCAAAGCACTTCCCAAAGAACTTCAATGAGCAAACTAACGTTGATGAAGAGGGTTATCCTAGGTATAGGAGGCGAAATGACGGAAGATCTATTGTTAGAAGTGGTGCACCGCTTGACAATAGATATGTTGTGCCCCACAATAGGTCGTTATTGATGAGGTACGGTGCTCATCTTAATGTGGAGTGGTGCAATCAATCGAGATCAATAAAATATTTGTTCAAATACGTGAACAAGGGACATGATCGTGTCACGGCAGGATTTTATGAAACAACAGGTAAAGATGTCACTGAGAAACCTGTTGATGAAATAAAATTGTACTATGATTGTCGTTATATTTCTCCATGTGAGGCAATGTGGAGGATTTTTGGATTTCAAATTCAGTATAAGAATCCAGCTGTTGAACGTTTGAGCTTTCACTTCCTTAACGAACAGTATGTTTATTTTGAAGATGGCGCAACGGTAGATGATGTTGTGTTGCGTGAATCCGTCAAGGAGAGTATGTTTCTGGCATGGATGAGAGCAAATGCAAAGTACCCCGAGGCAAGGGATTTAACTTATGCCGAATTCCCTCAAAAGTTTGTTTGGAAAGCGGCTACAAGAGAGTTCGTACCTCGACAAAAGGGGTTTGCAATAGGTCGTCTGACGTATGTGCCTCCAGGATCAGGAGAAGCTTATTATTTGCGGTGTGTTCTTAATTTGAGGCGTGGGGCCACAAGCTACGATGATCTTAGAACCGTGGATGGATTTATTCATAATACATATCGCGAGGCGTGTTTCGCCTTAGGGTTGTTGGATGATGACAAGGAGTACGTTGATGGATTTTCAGAAGGTAGTTATTGGGCTTCTGCGTGGTTACTTAGAAAGTTGTTTGTGATTTTATTGGCAGCGGATACA